ACAGCTACATAAGAAGGGAACAGTGGTGGTTTGCACCAACAGGTTGCTTTCCCAAAATAAAACAGGGCTTCACACTGCAAAATCACCAATACAACACGCTCCCTGGACCAGGGTTTTAAAGTGAGACCTCGATGGTTCCTAAGTATTTGCAGGTGCTTGATCAGAAGCGCTGACTGTGAAACTATGGGGCATGGGAAAATAAGACTGAGGATACGATTGGGTACCTGGTAAGACTAGAAGAGAACAGTCATTTAGTCCCCCTGCTGCAGCTGCTTATCATATTCCAAAAAAATGTCATGAACTACATCTGCCATCTCCATATGTGATCTAGTTACATAACAGTCAAGAAGAACAGACTATTGACATTTAACAGGGAAAAACAAAGATTAAAATCAAAAGCATTGGTATAAAATGGCATCTAGAAGAAGAAAAAACAAAGAGAAAACACTGCTCCAATGACTTTGGTTTTTAAATGAAAACAAGTAAATTGATCTATTTAATCTCCTGACATAAAAGAGGAAAATGACGCATAAGACTTTTTCCCCCCGAAAACAAATTCAATATAAGTGGATAAAATCCCAGACCCCACACTCTCTTGCAATACTTAAATACACTTGAAAGTATTGGTAAGAGAGGCAATTTGATGATTTGACTGAATTTTTGCTCTTCTCCAGTCCGCCAATTCTTCTGTGTTATACAAAACTCTAGATTCAAATTTGTGTAACTTAAGAAGTCACAGAGCCACGTCCCTAGCTGAAGGCTATTTCAGTTAAGGAGGGCTGCAAGTTGAAGATGCAATAGCTATGTGTTTGTTCTTCTTCTGGAAAAGATGCTCCCACAGAGGGACTGCAGCAGACGAGCTATCAATTAATCCCGCTTTGAGACAAAGTTCTAAGTGTGAAAATGAGAACTATTGAGTCATTCCTCTCAGGGCTGAAAACCCTAGTTTGATTCTGGCATAATTAAGTTTCCTCTTCACAAACACAGAAAGAGAACAAGCAAAACAGAAGTGAAGAAAAAACTGTGCACACTACCACAAAGCTGTTTTAACATGCATAGTTACAAATTTCTGTGCCATTTTATAACTGTCAAGTCTTAATTAAAATACTACATTTCTGTGACTCATGGTGCTGTAGGATGCACGTATATTATTCACATGAATATTAATCTCTTCCCAGGTAGGAGGCTGAATTGCTCAGGGAATTTATAATCACATCACATATGGAAACGTCTAGGGTGTTGGGGTTTTTTTCCCCTTTTCTTTCTTTCAAATTTCAGCCAGATCATTAACAATTAAGAGTCATAAGAACCATTTCAGTAGTCTATGTGAGGGGAATCCAGTAGTTCGGATCGGTGAGCTGGAGCTCCACGTGTATTAATGAAATGATACTGCACATTGTGGAAGGGGAACTTGGAAAAGTGCTGCAGGCATCGCTTTGAACATTAAGGACATAAGCAGCTGCTCTAAGCGCTGGAACAGAAGAGGAGGAGGTAATGATAGAAGATGGGAAGATGTTAACAGGGTGATCAGAGAAATGAGACATGACCTTTTCTAACTACCAACAGAATCACCCGGTTAGACTATCATCACAAGGACCTTTCAAATCCTGATACTTATCTGGATAGTCTCTATTCTTATCACTGACTTTCAAACAAGATCTAGGAACGAGCTGATGGTGATACACAAGGTGCAGAAAGCAACTAGCATAGATGCTCTTCTAGATTTGAGGAAAAGTACAGAGAGAAATAAGGACGCAAATGCATCTGAAAAAACTGTGACAGTTTTCCTGATATCTTGGAAGGAAAGGAATTAGACAAGCTAGAAAAATACTATGTAATTCGAGAACACAAACTAATAAAAACTCAGAAAATCAGTAGCTAGAGCTCATGAGAAACAGGCTTAAAAGACCAGGAGTTCAGGAAGCTGTTAACAGTTAATAAAACACCATTAACAGACAAAAACCACAAGCTATCCCAGTGAAGAGGAAGGAAAGGACGTACAATGAGAGACCTGTCCAAAAAAAATCACAAGCTCTTTAGAGGGCTTGAACCTCGAACTACAGATATCTTCTTGATGAAGATTTTAAGGAGTATGATTGCACAGGAAAGAAATCAAAAGGCCAAAGCACAAAATTAAACACCTAGCAGTGAACACACAATACAACAAAAAAACCATGGCTGCTACTCATAGGAAGACGAAGCTATCATCTGGTGGCATTAAGAAGGCTGGATCATTTGATGCCTTAATTGCTTCAGGTCTTCACTGACAGGGACAACTGCAGTTAGGCAGCTGACAGAATTAATATTGTTTTTTTAAAAAAGGGAAAAAGTTTAGCAAGTTATAAAAACAGGCTGCAGTAAAGGAAAACAAATTTGAAAGCAAACAGATAAGGTAGTTATTTGTATGTCAGCCGGCCCTGATAAATCTTCATCCTCAGGTATTAGGTTGCAACACTGACAATCACAAAGCACTCAGAACTTGAAAAACAGGCAATGCACTTGAAGATTTGAAAAGGGCAAAGCAAGCATTTATGCTTAAAAAATAGGAAGAGAAGGACTTGGATAATTATGGAAGTGCTAACTTGACTTTTTTCACCCCCTTCTGGGAATTGAAGACTGGAACAAATAATCAAATTATTTGCAAATTTTTTAGAACATGAAAAGGAGAGAAATAACAGCAAGCATGGTTTCATCAAGGGTAGAACTGTGTCAAATGCATTTAACTTCCTTCTATGACAAGGTAAATTAGTCTTAGGGGTAGGAGAAGAATAGTAGAAGTTTTATATCCTGAGGTCTGGATGAAACTGCTAAAATAGATGCAAACACACTGGAAAAAATTATACTCAGGGTAGGCAAACTCAAAGAATGTATCAAGCAGGGTCCCTCAGGCAGCTCTGGTAGCACACGACCTGGCAGCTTGGGTACGACACAACTTTTTCACATATAACTTGAAGGATTTGTAGGCATAACAGATTAGGAAGATACAGACAGCAATGTGCTTAAGGAGTGAAAAAAACAATTCTGTAAGAAAAAATGCAAAGCCATATTCAGCTGTAACCCAACACAAATTAGGCTAGGGAACAACCGACAAAGCACTTCTTCAGAAGGAGCCTCAGCTCTGGAAGGGATAAGAGGCTAACTACGCATCAGTGTTAGTCTGCAATAAAAAGGCACCATCACAGCAGGATACCTGATATCTTGGGATATCAGGATCACAGCCCGGGGAACAAAGTCTTCTTTGCTCTGTAGTGCACATGAGCAGGCTCTCAGCTGTGTTTCTACATTCAGCTTTGGACATTGCACTTCAGTAAAAACAAAGAATGGAAAAAAAAAGACAGGCTGATTAAAGAGTGCCTAAAACAAAACCTCACAAGAAAAGGCTAAAAGAAAAAGGGTCATTTAGTGAACATGAGAAGAGCGAGTGGGGCTTCATCCTCTCTTTGCAGCAGCCCTTCGCTATTTCAGAGAGGAAGGGAATCAGTTCTGCTCCTTTTCTCCTTGTCCTAATCATGAGAAATGGATTTATATGGTACAAGAGAGATTTAGAGCAGAGGTTAGGAAAACCCTTTGGACAGTAAAAACAGCTAAGCCCTGGAGCAGGCTGCTGGAAAGCTCCATCTCTTACGTTTTTTGTTTTAAGGGAATTTTGGATCAATAGTTGTTAGGAGTGGTCAAGGCAAAGCAAATCATGACATTTGCTATCATAACTAAACCAGTGTTTCTGTAACAGTCATCTCAAAGCACGTCTTCCTTCCAGTTCAGCAGAAACACAAAGATTGATGGTGAACCACCTCATGAACCTTGTACTCTCAGGAAAAAAAGAGAGATACCCAGGGAGAGGCATCACTGAATCTCTTGTCCCTTCATGCACTTGTTTTCCATAAGGCACAGAACTAAACTGTTTTGCCTGCATGACTACAAAACCACAACAGAAGTTCCTTTTCTTCTTAGATACTAATGGTGTTCTTAAATTTCACTTTCCATGTCATACTGATAATTTTGACCCAAATCCCTTCTGCTCAGAAGTGAATTACCACAGTAATTGTTAGATGGAAAAGAATTTATAATCCAGATAAGCCAAAGGAAAAACTATTTCTGCTATGGCACTTCAGAGGCCTCCCCAGACACAAAAAAAAAAAATTGTTTTCCTAAAAATCCAGAAGGGAAGGAAAAGTCCTGCTACTGATAGATAGATACTGTAAAATAATTTCTTATAAAAACAAAACAAGAGAGCTATACAAGAAAGTACTATTTCTAAATGAAATATATTAACTCTGCAGTTTGGGTAGTAGGCAATAGTTTATCATCTATAGAATATGAACACCATATGTTATCTTTCTGTGGGCATACAGATGGATGAAAGCATAAGACTTTTTTTAAAAAAAACAACAACTTTCTGGGTCTTAATCGCTGTTTTCTAAACCAAGAGTGTTTATACTGTTGAAGAAAATGTCACAATCTTTTCCTTTTGACTTCCCAAATCAAGATTATTTTTAAATCTTACTTTCATGAGATGAAAATACCAAGACTTATTATACACCCACTTCCAATTAGTATATATAAAAATATTTGATGTAAAGTTTCCCAAGGAACATTTTCACATGACGAATAATACAGATAACTCCTACTAAGCTAACAAGCTATCCTCAAGTTGCCTTGAGGAAAAAGTCTTCATTTTGAACAGTTTAACACAAACCATTTAGTCCCAGACATTATTATTACTATTTACAAATTCAGAGCTAATTTCTCTGCTTCTGTATCTTTTCTGATATTCATGTCTAGTTCCACACAATGACATTCAAAATGTTTGGTAGAATTAGATAGCTCTAAGACCATCACAACATGCTGCAGTCCTATACAATACATTTGATTAAATTTTTGTCTGCAAAATATCAAAACTATATAAGAGGTGTCTTACAAGGAAGAAGAAATGAAACCTTCAGCCACAGACCTAAAACCCAGGTAGCACAGAGAAGGAGCAAAGCAATACTCCATCCTACCTCTTGAAGCCGCAGTCGAACTTTGCTAATGGCTCTTATCCAATGGGCTCTTGCTGGAGGAAACGGTGGTGGCTCGTTGTCACCATGGTAGCTTAAAGGAAAGAAAGAGAAAATCTCTATATGAAAAAACACTCATCTGTAGCATTAAAGATTCAACATTACACAGTGCCATCACAGCTTCAGCTCTGGAAGCTGAATAGTAACCAAGAGGCTCTGGTCAACACAGCCCTGGGAAGTGAGAGGCTAAAGCTGAGGTTTCCTTACACACAGGAACCGTGTTGGAAACTGATGAATGGAAAGATACAAGCTAGGATACAATCCAGTCCCAGGAGTAAGATGATGTCAGTCAGAACATCCAGAAAGCAGTCCAAGATACCTGATCAAGCCAGTTCAACACGTTGGTATCATAACTGCACACACAAAGAGGCAGATGGAAGATTTTCCATCCCCATGACTGTTGCAGGTCCCTTCTAACCACTGCCTCTTCCTACTCACCCCTACTGCTACAAATTTACAGCCCCTCTTCAGCGGAAACATTGGCAACAGGGCTCAGCTGTGTTTTTCCCCATCCATTGCATCTTTCTCACTCCACCCTTTCTACAGCTTTTCAAGACAGCATGTGCATCTGGCAGCAATGCTCCATCTCAGTGCCCCACCACACATTTTACACTCCCTAACCTCATGATACATTGGGCCTTTGGTTGCATTCCTTCTTTTGTATGCTGCCAAGGTGTAAATCACTGAAACAAACACCTTTCCCTGTGTGCTAAGCACCCGGCACTGCTGACAGTATAAGAAAAAAACAACACAGCTGAGAGCAACATCCATCCATGCTACACATCTAGCTCAGGTACAACTCTAAGGATTCACTTCAGAGCTCAGTTCCGTGCATATTCCCTGGAGACAGAAAAGCATTGCCAGGGAGCGGAGAGAAAGGGAGCCAGTGATGCAGGAGTATCCAATTAAGACGCCTGAAATAGACTTATGTGAATAACCTTCCCTATGAACAAATATAGGCCAGCCATTCTGGGACAAGACTCCTGCTGCTCTATAAGGAGAAGAGGAACGTGAGTCAGATTTTAAAAAGTTTAACACTTTTTCTAGTTTCGTTTTCGTTTTTTACATCTTTAGTGTAAGGGTTGCCTACACATGAACTGCTGTGGTTAATTCTCTCATATAAGCACAGTGACACCAGGTGTACCCTCCAAAGGGTGCAGACAGGCAGACATCTTTCCATGGATCTAACTGAACCAGATGAAAATAATCCCTCATACTTATGAAAGCATAACCATATTCACACAGGGGCTGCAATGACTTGATTACCTCAAGGAAAAAAAGTCACTCCCAAAGTTAAGTAGTGAAATTTGAAATTCCTGTAAAACCTGTACAAAACCCAGCGCATTACTCCCCCAAACTTAGCCAAAATACTTTTGAAGACTGTTTTCAATATTGCTGACAGCTTGGAAAGCCCAAGCGCAAGAACAAGAAAAGCTGCCACAGTGAGTCAGAGCAACATGTCTATTCATAATGTAATTCTACAACCTACAACTACATAAACACTAACTCTAATTGTGGTAGCGTGCCTCACAAGAAAAGAACTAGTGCAGCTCTAACCATGACTACATGTAGTTCTTGGCTGCTCACACCTAAGCTTGATCACACATGAGCAATGGAAGGAGCTATCTTTGGGCCAGACTACATTAATCAAACCAGAAACAGAAAATACAGCAAATAAGCTTCAAAGCACTAGCAGGCATTCCTCTTTACATACATAGCAAACATAGTTTAAGCTTAGCCAATGTCTCACAAATAACTGGTCCTGCACATAAAGATGTTTCACAGATCAGCAACATCAAGTTAGTTGTTAGAGAAGGCTGCAAGAACAATGTACATAATTTGCCCCAGAAAATCGCAAAGAGAGGAATCGTCTTTGAATTAGTTGGAAAGAACTTGGTAATAGTTTCACCTACCTCTCCTGGGCTCCTACATCAACATCCTTGGGCTTCTCAAGTTCCACAGGTAACTTAGCTGCAGAATGGTCTGCGCGTTTCTCCTCTGTCTCACAGACCTTCTTCTCCTCCTCTCCTTTGCCGCGAGGCTCCTCTTGCTTCCTGAGCCATGCCTGACCATCCTTCTGGTAGCTGCCCAAACTGTGGTACGAATGATTCGACTCTCTTTCCTGGTGATCATCTTCTTGCTCAGAGCCATGCGCACTTTCATGGGAATGGTCCAGCTCACTTAGGTGAGAGCTTCCCTGGCTGACATTACAAGAGGAGCCATATCTACTACTGCCAGCAGGACTGAGAAAATAAGAAAGTCCATCAGAAAAAACAGTGGCTTGGAGAAACGCAAAGCAATCTGCACATCTACAAACTGAGTGGGACGCTAAATATTACTGAAAAGACATATTGAAGTCATATTTAACTATTATGCTCCCTGAACTAGATCTAGACTTCTGAACCTCAAAACTTTGGTAGGGAGTAGAAATACCTCATACACAGCCTACCGGTATATAGACCATACATGCCAATGGTCTTTCTTGAATCAACTGACTACTACTTCACCTTAAATCAGCTAGAAACGGCCAGTGAAGATATTCTAATAACCAGACAGGAGTAAGAATGGAAACAGCAATTCAGAGTGGAAGTGTTTCTGCCTTCTGCAGTTTCTCTGCAGCTAAGGTCTTTATCATGACCATTTAAGCTGACTATTGTTAGGAAGCACAGTTAACTTAAACTTAACTTTATTTTTATATATATTATAACATTTATGATAAAATACACTGCAGTCAAGATTAAGGTTGTCAAATGTTGTCAAGACTATCAACTTAAAACCTTTTACAAAAGTAGAGCAATTGTTCAAAAGGAAGCCACATGTCTCACTCCAATAGAGCTTTCTCAAGAATTTAATTTAAATAAAAAACCAACGCCACAGAGGCACTATCTCTGTGATTCAAGACACCACTTCGAGGACTGAATTCCTAGAATCCTTACACAAAATACAGTGGATGGAAATTTCTCATGCAGTCAGGAAAACTACGGCCAAGAATTAAGCAGCACTGATGTTTCTCTCATTTGCACACTTAGAAGAATTTGAAGCCAGATAGGAAGTTTTGGGAGTGCAGTGTTGCAACTGTATGATCAGAGGCAGAAGTTACATCGTGCAGAGATGTAAATTTAGAGAGTCTCTGTTTTGATTTTTGAGGGCAATTGTTACTTAACACATGCACAGGACTGAATACAGACTCATGAAATACTGATACCTTCCTTTAGTGGCTTTCCTAAATGCATGAAATAACTTTTGCACAGATTTTAGGAAAAGCAAGCATTAGAATACCTTCACTGACATCTCTGAAAATATTTTAAAATCTTCAATAATGTGAAATGAACCTAATTAGTTCTATAATACATCAGCAGTAAGTTAAATTTCTCTCTAAAATTAAAAGTCTTTACCTTGCATTTTGAAAACAAAATGCTCATTCCTTCCAATACATTCTACCTACTGTTACTTTTTTCTTAGCAAAGACAACATAATTATCACTAAACACGAAAGCAAAGTGAATTGTATGCAGCAGAATTAACACACAAAGACTAAAACTTCTGAAAGGCTAATGAAATTAGCACTAAAAGCATCTCATTCAGTGGGACACAGCATAAAAGCATGGGAAATCCAATTACACTCACAGAAAAAAAGAGCGGAAAAAGGTGAGAAAATGGTCCCAGGGCTTACACATAACTAGTGACTGCAGTTTGCCACATCCTCTGTGACAGCTATCAGTAATACTACAAACACTTGACAACAAATAGGGGATGGGACTTAGACACCAAGACCAATATCTACTGCTGTGCTATTGCATTATAAATGGTCAAAAACTTGAAACCATTTATTATGCCTCATTTATAACTAGCCTTTTCTCATTCAGTTGTTCCACGCTATTCAGATCTGCAGCCTGTGTGCTAGTATGAAGCACTGCTCCATTAGGAGTGGAATCAAGCTCAGTTTCTTTCAGTTCAGGCTCATCTGGTGCATGCTCTTCTGCCTCATCTTCTTTCTGCAGTTCACCTGAAATCATGTTGTGCTGATCTTCTGACTCTTTACCAAACTTCTCTCCCAGCTCTTTGTTGGATGTATCATCAACAGCACTTGCACCAGACGGTTCTTCAGAAAGTTCATTGTCTACAGTGTCAGGCTGCTTTGAAGACAAGTTTACTTCTGTATTTGTATCAGTCAGTTGATCTGAGACTCCAGATTTTGAATTTTCATCTGAACTGACTGTTCCTAACACTTTGTCATCTGGTTTTGACAAAGCCTGTGGTGGTACATGTGGTTCCCTTTTGGCAGAGGTCTCCCTGTTGTCTTTTTGCCAGGGAAAAGAGAAATCTAGCTTTTTCCCAAATACTGCTCCTTGGCCACTCTCTGGCTTACTCACCTTTTCTTCACTACCTCCTTCAAACAGAGTCGAAGAAAGTTTCTTAAAGCTGGACATGAGGCCCTGATCTGCCCCTGCTTTATTAACAGAAGGTGGCTGCTGAGAGAAGAATGACCCAAACGGCTTTCCACTATCAGCAGATGACATAAAGCTGAATTTCGGCAAACTGGGCATGTTTGGTATTTCAAAGACAGTTTTACTACTGTTTGCATCTGGAGGAATGTTATTAGGTTTACTCTGTTTTGTCAAGTCACATTTAGAAGCAATCCCTTCTGCAGGCATCTCATCAATTGCTAAATGCTTCTGCTGTTCAGCAGTTTGCTGTTCTACCTCACTTGTCTTCTCTTCATTCAGATGGAGCAGATGAACATTGGGCTCATCAGCTGGAGCTGTGAGTTCTCTACCATTACAGCTGATCATGTCCTGCTGATCAATACCACCATTGGCCTGATCCCCTGTAACAGCAGGCTCTGATTCAACCGTAGCACTCTCATCCAATTGGGAAAGGTTTGTGTCTGCCTCATTAGTTGGGGCTTCCATTTCCAGTTGAAGCCCACCACAAGAGCCAGTCTGAAGGACGTCAACAGCTGCCTTGTCTATAGAAGCGGCTTGTTCCTCTGTTACATGTGAAGACCCCACATCTAGGTGGTATGTATCAGTGTGGTCAGTGGCCTCAGCCTGCACTATATCAACCGCATTATTGAAATCAGGCTGGCATGGCTTAATATCTACCATCCCAGAGGGTTGTGCATCATTATCCAACTGCAGAATCTCGAGAGCTTGATTTTCACTAGAGACTGCTGTTTCTGGAGTGATCCTCAAAGGCTCCTCTTTACAGCTTTCTGAGTTCCTATTTCCCCTGGTTTCTATTTTCACAGGAGACTCTTTTGTGAAGTTCTCTTCTGCTGAAACAGGTAATACAACCTCCTTCAGAGAGCTCATGACATCTCTTTTAGACTCTCTGGCTGCAGCTGTATTTTCTGTCTCCCTTGAGTCTTTTGCTGCAACAGACCCAGTGACATCTTTTACACTACTGCTTTGAGATTTAGGGGTGGATTTTGGAGGCATCTCCTTTGGAGATTCTTTTGGACCTTTGAAGATGCCAAAGAGATCATTTGTGAAAGCTGGTGCTGGGCCAGTTGGGAGGGATGAGAAACCAAAGAAAGAAGAGCTTTTCTTCTGTGCAGTAGGAGGTGCAGTAGCTTGAGGTTGAGAAAAGAAACCAGATAATGTTTTAGGTGGTTTCATTTTTGTCATGAAACTTGAAAACATTTCAACTGAAGAATCCAGTACCGATTTATCACTCTCAGATTCCTTAGGTTTGTTTTGCAAATTAGATGCCTCTGGCATTTTAGAAGGAGAGTGTAGCTCTTGTGCCTGTTGTAACCTGTCACCAAGAGTTTGTTCGGGTAATTTATGTTCTGGCAGCTCATGCTGTACACATAGTTCTTCAGAGACTGCTTCATTTTTTATGTCACTCATAATATTTAAGTCATTTAGACTCTGGGAATCCATTTTATCACCTAAGGCCACGCTATAGTCTTTATTTTCAGAAGCTTGTTCTTTTGAAGAATAAGGCTCTTCTTTACCAACAGGAAATGCCACACTGTCCATTTTCCCTGTGCTACCCAAAGCATCTTCTTCTCCCCCTAAAGAAATATTCTGTTGGCCCCGAGAACCTTCCTGCATACTGGGAGTCTGAAGGCAAGGTCCAGAAGTAGCCAAATGGGTTACTGCAGCATCATTGGTCTGCAGAAGCTTCTCTAGGTCTCTCTCTTCAGCTACCTCAGCAACACTTTCTACATTTTCCACTGCCAGGATTTCTGATCTATATTCTGTGATCGTGAGGTTATTAGACATTTGTTTGCCAGTCACTGCTGCAATAATATCATCCACTTCTTCCTTATTGTCTGCATCTTGTCGCCTGGCAGAACTGCTTCTTTTGACACCAGAGTCAGTGGAAATATTTTGCTTCACATAGGGCTTAGAGTTCACTGGTTTAGCTGGTTTTGTATTATTATTTTGTCCTGGAGCAGTTTGTGGCTTTTCATCCAAAAAGGAAGTCAAATTGAAGAAGCTAAAGCTAGTACTTCTTTGAGGCATGCTTTTCTCAGCAGTTGGACTGCTGGAGAAGAAGGAGGGCAGATGAAACAGCCCCTCTGTTTCTTGCTGCTTCCCACTAGCAGGAGCAGTAGCAGGTGCTGAAGGCTTTGGTTCGTCTGATCCAGCGAAGAAGGAGAACATGCTCATACTGGCTGGCTGTGCTGGCTGTGATTTCAAAGCAGTGAAAGCAGAAAAGCTGAACGGCAAACTGAAACCTGACTCTTTAGGTGTCTGATCTGGCTTTGGTTTTGTCTGATTAACTGTACCTCCTAAATGATTTCCTCCTTGTTGCTTTGGTGTAACCGTGGGTATGCTGCTTTGCTGCACAGCTGACTGACTCAGTTGGCTTATTTTGGGACCTACACCCACTGGCTTCTGTGAAGCGTTTCCAGGAGGCACTTTTTTACTCTCAGGAGACGACTCCTCAGCTTTTCTGCTTCCTTGTTCCATTTGCACCCCAGGGCTAGGAGAGACCTGCCTGTCCATGCCTTCTGTTGTCACCCCTTCCTTAGGGGTGGAGGACATACTCGCCATACTGGCACTCTGAAGACCCCCAGACTTCTCAGTTTGTCGTCTCGACTCAGCCACAGTTCTGCTATTGGTTTTTGGCAGAGTCATAGTACTTGGGGTTGGTTGAGAAGACACAGCCTCCACTTTGAAGAGATCTCCAAGGGATCCAAATAATGATGAGATGCTGGAGGTTTCCTTCTGTTCTGGCTGTATCTCTTTTTCTGGTTTATCACTTTGACTTTTCTCCAAATCTGGTGA